CCCCAAAACCCCAAAACCCCAAAACCCCACATCCCTAGATTTATTGCAAATAATGTCTATTGTAACTTTAAAAGTTATATTTAAATTTATTTAAATAAAATGAGATCTTCTACTCAAGCAGTTGTTGAAGGAGGATATACTATGTAAATTTAAGGTCATCGAGGAGGGTTTAAGCCTGACAATATTTTACCAACCTTTCAAAAGTCTCTAGATAACAATTTAGAAGCTATTGAACTAGATGTACAGAATCTATACTTAAATTTAAAGATTTTGATTATAGGTTTGGTTGACAAAAGATGGATTAATTGTAGTTTGTCATGGTGGAGATGATGGAAATCTTAAGGATTATGGCCTACCAGAAGAGTTCATTTACGAATGGACTTATGAGAGATTAAAAACATTAGATGCTGGAGAAGGCGCTTACTTACCTCTGTTAGAAGAGGTTTTCCAATTATTTGAAGGAAAGATATTTATTAACATTGAAGTCAAAGGACCCAGAACCGAATCACTTAAACCTAAATATGATTGTGATAAAGTAGTTGCTGAAGTTCTTGGCTTAGTAGATAAATATGAAATGCATTAAAAATTCTTAATCTCCTCCTTCAACTATGATGTTTTAGCTTCAGCTGAAAAGGCTAGAGAAGCAAGAAAAGAGACTAATCCTCATTTCGACATCATTTATCTGTACAACTATGAAAATCAGCCCCTTCCATCTCCAGATGAATACCTTGCCAGGGGGAATGGAATTAATATTAGTGCAAATCATATAAATGATGAGGTAGTAAGCTAAGTAAAAAGTAAGGGTCTAAAGCTAGGAGTATGGATAAGGGCAAAAGATTACACTGAGAGTGAAGAAACCTACTTACAGATGCTAAATTATGGTATTGATTTTATATGTGCAGATTTTCCTTTGAAAGCAATGGCAACTAGGGAGAGATACTTTCTTAAAGTAGAATGATTAAGATAGACCTAAAAATTTAATTTCTTAGTAAATATCATTAATTTCATTTATTTAATGCTAATAGTTTAGAGCTGGGGTTTTGGGGTTTTGGGG